ACGGTACATGTTTTCTATTTCTTAAATAAAGTATTCTTTCAATTTAATATGATTTATTCTTTACTATTCTGTAGCATATCTCAAAACTACAACATTAAAAAATTGGCGGTACCGTAAACACGCGCTAAAACAAGGCGCACATAATTATTGACGGCGGGAACCGAAGCATATGCATTACAGACATTAAGAGAGTAGACAAGGCATCTGAGTTTGAGTACCGTGTGAACTTGCATGTCGACACTGTTGTCATCTGCACAATGGCTATCACGGAACATAGGAGAAGCCTTCCGTTATGATATACATTGCAATGCGCAAATGTACTCCAATTAACGGTTTCTATCATAATACGAAACCGTGACGAGAAGTTGAAGATATTACCGAAGACAGTTTAAATGAATTTGGAACCCTGTCCTGTATCCACCCCTGTTCTGGGTTGTTATTCTCCCGGCTGATAGCGTTATTAACCCTTTGAACAACTACGGCTTCAGGATAATAAAATAACAACAACAAACATGTTATCAAATGCTAAAATTTTAATAGCAACAAAGATAACCGCAGGGCAACGATTCTTTTAAATCTGCTCTCAAGAGTATTGAGTTCAACTCCGTCAAGAGTTGTCCTCCGGGGGTGCGTGGTTAATGCGGCGTTTAAAACGTCTTTCAACAATAAAGTCTTCTGACTCTTAAAGAGTTTTTGAAATAAAGCTTATTTCAAAACAAGTTATCAACTGAAGGACATGGTTAGTTTGAACAAAGCACAGCCGTGTAGTAACCGGAAAAAAGCAGGATTACGGTGGCCAGACAAGAAGAACCAAGGACAACAAAAGTAGGAATCTCTTCCATGGCGCTCCCTGCGCCGTACACTTGAACACCAAACTCCATCGTCAGGTTACAGAAGCTGTGATGGAAAAAATGACAGACACACAAAGATTAAGACACCTGGCTGTAGACGTCAATCACAGGCTAGATTTAACGGTTGATTCTGGGCCCGGTTTGAACTAGAGATAAGGTGTTGTTTTAGAAATGGTACCTCTTAGGGGTGAAAAAAATGTCAAGCCACGCCCACAATACAGGATCTTGGCTCCTTGGTACTTATTAGAGGTTCTTTATAGAATTTCTTGCGAGCACCGCCGGTTCAAAGCTCAAAACGATTCTTGAAGTTTTGGAAAAGAAATACCGCTGGTAGGCTGGAATCACGCTCTTGTTTTGTTATATCTACATCTACATTTATTAAGTCAGCAGAAGCTATATCTTGAGTTTGAAGAGCCTGAAGCTGTTCATAGAGACGCGAATACAATACAACTGTGGTACAAATACGATATGGGCCATGGAACGATTTTGGGTGCCACAATCATCTTTGATCATGTTTACTTATTTCTTGTTAATACCTGAAGTCAGGATCGATAACTTTCAGCGTGAAGACAAACGTGCCGACATCACTCCACACAATATGCGAGGAGGCTTCAGAGCTGTTAAGGATTTCATATGGCTGATCAAGATTAGCTACAGACAAGGGAGAATTCTGTTGAAAACAGCTCTGGTAATTCTGTTGAATTAAGTGGAGAAGAAGATTGGTTCTATTATAATTGGAACGTTTACAAGCTGTATAAATTACCCATGACCAACTCCCGTCTGGTTTGTAACTCAATCGGTGAAAATCCCACCAGGGACAAAGAATTTCACGTTTCTTTTCTAAGGATTCCGTACAATTCCAGTGTTACTACCTTAACTCTTTGCTTACTTACTACTTTTACAAGTGCCACGTGGCCCAACGTTACAATCTCATTTGCAGCTTTTTATTTGAATGCTGGTCACACTCTAAGGTTTCAAGGGCCATGTTATTAAGGGCAACCAGCTGCACCATGTATGAATGTTATGCTCCTGTACATACCTTTCTTTTGAACGGTGCACATTAATCAAGTAAGAACCAGAATAACTGAGTTGAGGTTTTTTCGCTCATTGCGTTATTTTCTTTAAATAACACTTCTCGGCTTGGCACCAGTCGAAACTTGCATAGTAGTCATACCTCTTTAGACCACGCTGATTCCATGGTTTCTTCCTGAGTAGACCCGCGTATCATCTTTTCCCAACTCTGCGCCTCACTAATACACCCAGCCTGATGCGTAGAAATGAAAATAGCGCTTTCGTAAGCCTTCACTGACTTTCAAGTCTTTCAACAACAAAACACTTATTTTCATTATAGTGATGTAAACTTAAACAAAAACGGCACTTCGGCTCCGTGATCATTAAAAAACTTCCAAAACAAATCAATCAGGGAGATGTGTTGTGTTTGGCCAATCAAATATAAATAAGTATTGCCCTACCCGACTATTCTCGCGTTTTTCGTCCGTTACACGGTTTCCCGTGCTCTCTGCTTCATGATTTCCCGCGCTTGCCATCGGTTACATGTTTTGCCGATCTTTCGTCCGGTTACGCGTCTTCCCACACTTTTCCCTGGTTGTACGTTTTTCAAAGCCTGGCCGAAGTATAAGTGGCTTTTTATAAGAAATAAATTTTAGAATCAGGTAGTTTTAGAGCACTGGAATCCAAGATTAAAAAAAAGCAAATAAATTTACGGTGGGATCACGTCGGCGTACTAGTAGCTTCGCTTTGCTCTTTCTTTCCAGGATTCCAAAGCTGTAAAACCATCTTATTGTAATATATAGATATAAAAGTATCTCACCTACATTATAACTACCAACGCTAACACTTCAGATCTAAAAGCAGACACTTAAGTTGCCTACAGCTACTCGCTTGCCCCAGTGACACACCTCTTTCATTGTTGCACTGTACTTGTAGCCTGCTCGTCCGTGCTGTTCCCACATAATATAGTTCACATCTACTTCTTTTACAAAAGTTTCTCCGTCATATCTGAAAAAATCATCTATGTAT